ATGGGAAATGTGCAGTCTAAAAGCCACATGTGGCTCACCATTTTTAGTTGGGATGTTCCCCCCCCATTACCAAATAGAGGTAAAATATGCTGTATTTTCACTGGTTAAAAATATGTAAAAGAGGGATCTCCTACATCAACAACAGATTGGGTTGTATGGTCTGTGGGTCTTTTCCAATTCTACATTCTATGTGAGGAGATACTGTAATTTCATAGAGAAACAGAGAATTGAAGCTCACCTTCTCCTTGGCTCTTATGGTGCTAGCATCTCTGCCAGGATATTTGATATGGCAACAATGGACTTGACCATCCATTTTAGCAGGGGTAGGCAACCTTTCCCCTTTAAGGGCTGAGGGACTTCAGCTCCCAGAATCCCAGGAGCTATTGGCCAACATGGGACTATTGGCCAACATGGCTGAGGCTTCTGGGAACTGAAGTCCCTCGGCTCTTAAAGGGGAAAGGTTGCCTACCCCTGATTTAGAGACTTTAAGTTGTCTCTCTACCAGTATTCTCTTTCCTGACACCAATATAAATACCAATTTGTGTCTCTATCAATACCAATATTCAGGCTATATATTTGTAAAAAAAAAGAAGTATAAATGCTATAGCCAAAACATCCCATGAGTGACAATTAATTAAAAACTTTGTATTATTACTTACTGCCCTAAACAGAATGTAGAACATTGGAACATGACACACTCTCCAACAATATCTCTCTGATTCCTATATTCTTTAATAGAATTCAAATCACTTAAAGTCCAACCTCCAGTCAGTAACACATGGCAAACTGTGAAATCAAGATGAATTCAGCAGCAGTAAGTCACTTTTTTTAGCTGTGCACTAAACCCCTAAATTTAGTCCAGTGCTATCCTTTCTGAAGAAGTTGCAAGTATCAACTAGCCAAATTTACTACCAGGAGGCTATGTGTGATGGTTTAGACAAGCTATTGACAGCATATCACCTAGTATTGTATGGTTTAATTTCTACCATGGGATGTCCTTGTTGACCTCCTGGTGAACACAATGGGGAATGGCTAGCCATTTTTTCTCCTCTAATTAGCATATTTTCTATCTTCTTTGGCATCGATGCTACCATGCGGGGTCTGGCTATATAAGTCAAAATTAAAAGCAACAAAACCAAAAACAACTGTTGATTTGACCTGTGGGGACTCCCAAACAACTTCCCATCTGCAAAAGGTTAGTGGAAGCAACCTTAATTAAAACACAGAGTGATTAAAAGAAGATCCCTCTTTTCTTGTCACCAAAGTGGAGATTTCTTTTTAAAGCCCTCCTGGACATTTTCTGTAATGTGCAGAATACACTATGGGGAATAGCCCATCCAACTGAAAAATCCCTACATTGAAAGAAATACTACAGATGGAGATTATATATTACTAAACTCAAATTAATCTTAAGACCCATTATAACCAATGGGACAGGCCTACCACTGTTTATCATCTCCTCACTCATTGTTAAGGAAAAATTATAGCTAGCATATTCAAGCATACTGAAACTTTCTTCAAACCAACCGGTTCCAGGGGAAAAAAAGTATATTCTGCTGAAAGGATGACTTAAGGATGACTTCAGTTTGAGTCACTAGTCTTTTGTCAGATCTTTTCTGCTTTCCTAAACCTGCATACTAATGTCTTGTAATTTAAGCCAGTTCTGCTTCCAGCTTTCCATAGACTATCTGGACAGGATCTGTAGATATACCCCCTTTTCTATCCCTTGAACTCCATTATCCTCTTTCACTTTTCTATATTTGGCTAGCTCTGTATGCTGTGTGAAAGAGTGAGATACTCCAATATGAGTGATCTTTCATATTTCTCCCAATAAAAATTCATATATTTCCCCATGCCTGAAGTCTCTACCAGTTATTACCAGTATGGTTGCTGCTCAGTTCCTGCATATGTTACCTCCTTTTGCAAAGTCAAGCTAAACATTCCCCTAATTAATTAAAGATAGATTGGAACGCTACACAGTGGGGGCTTTACAAGTCCCATACCTTTTTGGGTAACATCTCTGTTCCATATGTTCCTCCTCTTGCCTCATTCTTCAGGCTCACATCATTTACTCCATGGGGGGAGGGGCCTCTTTTCACTTTCTCCCTGTCAAATAGCTGGATGTCACATACTTACCCCTTCTTTCTACTTTGTCCACTTTAAACATTTGTATCCTGGCTTGAGTATCCCTTCTTTCAAGGAAACTATCCAATGTCAAATGCCAATGAACAATAAAACACTTACAATTACACAATATCAAATAAATATCAATATCAAAAAACTTGTAATGAAGAAAACAAACATGATCAGAAATATAGTCTTTAAATGCTTCCTTTCTTCTAAACTGGCAGGACATTTCCATGCAATTTTACCTCAAAATGGAACCTTTGAAATTCAATGAGGCTTGCTCAGATGTTTTCTCAGAACCTAGGTTTTCTGGAAATGTAAGCTTCGCTAACTCACATCCCACCCCACTCCATACTTCAGTATTAAATGCACCACATAACCCAGAAATAGTAAATGTCCCAATGTCCCTGAGACAACCAGACTTGGGGAGAAAGTAAATTGAGTTCAGAAGAATAAGATAGCTTTTTATGAAGTACTGTGCAATCCTATACACATCTATTCAGAATAAAGTCCACCAAAGTTAAATGAGGCTTACTCCCAGATGACAGCACACAGGACTACAGACTAAATATAATAAAACCCTTAATTTCTATAAGTATTGAATTCTCTGTCAGACTTACCCAGGCACTGATTTAACATCAAATAAGAATCACAAATATCACATGTCATCACTTGCCTGGAAAAAAAATGTGTCCCTCCTACTTCTGACCGGCAAAAAATATTTGCATTCAAATTATACTTTATGACCTCAGGGATAACTGTTTACCATATTGATCCAACATTAAAGTGGTAATTTATGCACCTCCTTGCACACTGGACTACACCAATGGTTTATTCTATTGACTATCTGACTGGTCTTGCATATATTTTACTGTTGCGAAAAATACTGACAGCAAGGTCATCCCAAACAAGAGCCATTTCCACTCTGTTTCATCCTACCCCTCACACACTCAGGTGAAGGATCTGAAGCCTGTTTCACAGTGTACTGTAAAGTGCATATAACCAAGAATCCCACAAGAGCTCATTGTGTATGGGAAGGAAGCACACTTAAAAGAAAGGGCAACAAGTTTTGGGAACAGAACTAGGGTTGAATCACATATACTGGGAATAATACTACATGAAGATCCCTCCAGAGTGGAAGTCATCAAGTTTGTGTAAGGAGTCTGATTTCAGTCAGGCCTTAAACAGGATAGTCTAAGACAGGGGTAGGCAATCTTTTTGAGCCAGGGGCCGGGTTGCTGTCCCTCAGACAATTGGGGGGCCGAAGCACAATAAATAAATAAATAAATAAATAAAATGTAAACAAATAATTTTTTTAAAAAAAAAATATGCATGCACACTCTCTCAGCCCCAGAAAAGCCATGGCAAAAGCCCTGTGGAGATTTTGCTAAGAAAACCCCAAGAACAAGTAATACCAACAATAATCAATATCATCATGGCAGGCAGGGGGCGGCAGCGGCGACGGTGGCGGCAGCGGCAGAACCGGCCTGGGGCCAGTCCAAAGGCCTCAGGGGGGCCTCATCCAGCCCCCTGGCCTTAGGTTGCCTACCCTGGTCTAAGGCCACCCTTTCCAGGCTGGCATGAGGCATATATAATTTGTTTTCAAAGATCCCCAAGTTGGTCACATCTAGGAAAGAGGAAAAAAGTGAATATTTGAAAAGTGCACATAGAAAAAAATGTACACATTTCAAATGTTTGCAAAATACTGAGATTAGTCAATGATGGCCCCTATAGTCATTGGCCGAAACTATTTGAACAATGTATATGAATTAACACACATAAGTTACTATTGTGTGCCTTGAAATACTTTCTTATTTATGGCAAATATAAGCCAAATCTATCAAAGGGATTCTTCATTCAGAGGAGATTTGCCTTGCCTGCTTAGACTGGGAGGATTTTACTTGCCCGTGGTCACCCAGTGGATTTGCATGGCTGAGTAGGGATTGAAAGTTTGGCCTCCACAATCATAGTCCAATGTTCAAACCACTATATGACATTGGGTCTCAATACATGTGGATATTTAAAAGGAAAATCAAAGGATGGATCTCACCACTACACACACACACAGAGTTGGATATGGACTAGAAGTGATAACAAAAAATGAAGAATACCCACACATACCAACTTTGTAGATGTTTACATTCCTATGGGTTATGCACAGCCCTAATGATCACATAATCCAATATTTATTGGTTAGATTAGGGACTTAAAGATTTATTTAGGAATAGCAAGAATGCAGGGCATGAATGAAACTTAGGGGGGTTGCAGACTGCCAGAAATAGTGTGAATTGAGTCCAC